AAGCTCTTGTACAATCTTGTCGTGCATCGCGCGATATGACCTCGGCGCGTATTTGACGGTTGTCAAGTATAGCTTCTTCAAGAACCGAGGCGATCAGGCTCTCACCGAGAAAGAGTACCGTCAAATGACCGCGGACATCCAGCAGGCGTATCATCCAGTCTTGAATCACTCCGCTGTTTCGATTCTCAGCATCTTTACCGAATACGTCCGTCTGCCGATTGCCTATGTCTACCACTCTGCTGGAACCTGGGTCAAGTTCTTCTTCCTCGCGTGTATGGCCGACCCCGAATACCAGCGCGAGTTGAACGGGGCCTTGATACATACACCGCGTCCTATAGCAGCGTCCGCCACCTTTGTCCTTACGGGCTTATGGATATACAGTCGGGTTGCGATGTCCGTCGCTTTACCATTCTTCCTGTATCATCGCCGCAAAGACATCGCAGGTCTTGCTGGGACAGTGAAGGGTAGTTTGATCGTCCAGAAGAAGAACCGCTTGATCATTCGAAGCTATGGAGATACTGAGACAGCGTTCATTCATCCCATCAAAGCCAGCGGAGTCAAATTAATGTTCTATGCGGGTGATCTGGAACAAGAGCCTACTTGGGGCCATCTCCGGGTTACATACTATGACGAAGAGATGCGCATCACGTTGCGTGAAGACTACAAGAATGGCGCGGTTACCAATGAGTTTGTCTACGAGTATGCATTGAAGCAATCCCAACGCAAGACAAAGATCTCAAAGGTCAAGCAGAGTAGGGTGCCCCTAAGCAGGACCTGCCGCAGCGGCCAAGATGAGGGTGCCAAGGTTATCTACAACCGGAAGGGCCACATCGAGTCGGGAAGCTATATCAACCACAATAATCTGGTCCGTTTCAAGTATCATTATCGCAAGAACGCCAAATACGACGACGAGCTTCTTCGCGCCGAATTTGTTCTGCCGCATATGTCAGCCAACGTCAGTTGGTGTGCACCTCCTGTTCGTCACGCCGAGAAGATGGAGCGCTGGATACCCACTCCTCGCGTCCACGAAGCGACATTCGTCCAAGGAGCCGACGTATATGAATGCTCATGGCTCTATGATCACAAGTTCCATCCAACCATTACCACGAAGCTCAACGGCGCGCCAGTCGACACCCCGGATATGATTCGTCATGATTGGCTTGGCGTACTGAAGAAGCCAACTCGATGCACTTTCGCCGACGAGAACCCCCTGCTGGCCTTCAAGTCCCCATCTTCCAGCCTGTTCAGTCGGATGCTGCGAACAAACATCAAACAACAAGAGATTTCGACGTCCAGGGCTCGGTCCCAACTTTGGAAAACCTGGAAGAAGCGAAACGATCTGGATGGTGTTGTCATCCGGTGGGTAGATGAAGAGTTGATCCGCAAAGAAGCCCTCCTCCGACCATATTGGAGACGGAGAGATCGCGGTAGTCTCGTGAAGGCGGAAGACTATCTGGCAATGCACGCCGATGCCATCATGGCCAGCTCAGATCTCACAAGCGACATTAGCGCATGGACGCCACTTGCAATTCGAATGAGTGATTTGTTCAGCTTTGGCCAGGGTGGGGATGCCGTTATCTTCACCAGAACCAAAGCACTACAACGCGACACTGACCGCAACCTACATGTTATCGCTGTCGATACTGGTACTTGGCCAAATGAAGGCGGTGGTGTCTCGGCGTGTCGTCGAGATCTCATCAACAACTTGCGCACCATCAAATGGCACATGGTCGTCGAATCGGCTAACGACTTTGGCTTGCCGAAGCACCAAACTGAAGAGAACGTTGAGTCACTCAAGGTGATACCACTGTGGGGGCTGGACTTCATGCATCCGAACCATGGGATGTTCACCAACAAGCTGGACAGCGAGGTCGACCATCTGGTCAAAGCAGCAACAATATCCGACATCGAGACGAACTTCATTCCGACCTTGACTGCCCTCGTTCGCGGCGCTCGAGCTACCACAATGACGTCAGCAGACGTCAAGCAAGCGACGCGTGCTTTGGTCAACCTGAACACATACTTCCAAGATTCGCGCCACTGGAAAGAAGTCTGGACAAGCGATGTGGTCAAAGATACATGGAGGAGACTGTGGCTCGATGAAGCCATCCCGAACGCGCAACCGCCCTCAGAATGGTTCCGTACTGAGCTTCCAACGCTCAATCACTTCGATACCGCGCTAGAGCTGTGGTTCCGATGCAAGTAACATCCCCATGTTGAGCGCGACAAAGCTAATTTGAATAGATCTATTCATTTTCTCGATCCCCATCCCCGAAAAGATACCCCACGTCTTCCAAGCCTCGCACCACAGCGTGTCAGCATCCTACGGGATCGTTTGCAAGCTGAAGCGCAACTGCACACTGCAAATCTGGGATCATGCAATCTCCTGGCGTGAGACTAACCTCTACCTCTCATCAGCGATGTGCACCCTACCGCCCTTCATCCGAAACTCGCTACTGGGTCTAATGAAGTTGACATCTTGTCTCATCTTGCATCACGCCGATCAGATTCTTCCCTGTGCAGGTAGGTGCATTGCATCTTTTATCCAATCCAAGTGACTAACTTGATATGCTAGACTTCTTCAACCCCGGCTGGGAGGTGGAGATCGGCAGCGCAAAGGGTCAACTCACCCACCGCAACGTGTTTCGTCGGAAGGTCGATCCCATCGTCAACGGTATTACCGATATGACCAAGTTCTCTCCGGTGACCGAGATCAAGACGAAGACGCCGACAGTAACCATGCTGTCCCATGTCTGGTTTGCGAAAGATATCAAAACAGCCCTCCTTGCAGCAGATATCATAACGAACGAGTGGGGCTTCAAGGACTACAAGCTCGATATCTACGGAGCTCTCAACAAGTCGCCCGTCTACTCCTCTGAATGTCAAGAGATCTTGGCTTGCAAAGGTCTTGGTCAGAACGTAGCGATGCGCGGCACTGCAGACCCAGCGATGGTTCTCGCAAATACTTGGTTGTTCCTCAATTCCTCCGTTTCGGAAGGACTGCCGCTTGCGCTCGGAGAAGCGGCGCTTACTGGGGCACCAGTCGTGTGCACCGATGTCGGCGCGTCGCTGCGCGTGCTCACTGATCCCGACGACGGCAAACGCTACAGCGAAGTTGTGGCACCCAATGATGCATACGGTCTTGCACGAGCGCAGATCAACCTGCTGGCTATGCTGGATGAGTGGGCACAATATGCTGATGATGACGCTGGGGTAGCGGCGCCTATCTTGCCTCACAAGCCTACACCAAAAGACGTGGAGATCATCACGCGCCGAATGTATGAGAAGTCTGAACATCGACGAAAGCTGGGGATGATGGCTCGCAATATTGTCCAGAAGTCTTTCGGTGGTGAGCGCTACCTTCGCGAGCACGAGCAGATGCTCTGGATTGGTAAAGCCTGCTATGAGATGCTGGATCTAGAGAAGCGGATACCACCTCCAAGAAACCCAGCGCGCATGCTTTCGCTTCGTCGTAGTCTGCCACGACTTCATCAACGGGATACTGCATCGAGTCACATGTTCGATGCGCAGATGGAAAAGATGATGCACCCGCGTCCGTACGCACCAAGACGAACATCAGCAACAACATCGTTTTCGTCAGTGTACATCGACGAACCTTCGGGCTCCTCATCGACTTACTCGGACCCCATCTGGGAGCACGAAGAATGGGACTTGCACCATGAGTCGCCCGAATCGTCGGTCAAGTACGAGAACTCTGATACTGATGACTGGCCGATACCAGCCGTAACCCGTCCCACGAGACCGTACTCGGGTGTCAGCGCGAGCTCAATTTCGCCTGCTGCTAAAGGAAAGCGACCCGCCCGGTATTCGTATTACGGACATGAAAGCAATCGAGTTTTTAAGCCGGCATCACCGAACGCGAAAATGGATCCAAAAAGAGCGGTGCTTATGCGTCAAAGTCTGGCCACGACAGAGAGTGCGCGGAGTAGTATGCGAACGAGGAGTCACTTGAATGAAGTAGAGCTTGCTGAGTATGGGAATGTGGATGGACGGTTATGATGAAGGAGGGAGTGATAGAGTATCGTTTTTTGGAAGTTTAGCATCGTTGTTCGCATCTGTTCTCACTCTTTTTCTCCAGGATCAGATAGCATTCATTAGTACGGATGTAGCTGTATGCAGAGCTCAAGCTTTTCCGAATATGAAGGTACACTACGTCAAGCTCGCCAAACGCAAACCTGCACGGACCATAATAGTCATGTGACTGAAGGTATAGCCTTGGGTTGGGCGTGTAGGCCAAAGCATTCACCCAAGTTCGGACCCCCGACTCTTCTTCGCGACGCGTTCAACGACAGTGTTTCTCTCCTCTCATCCAAGCCAACTCAACCCCATTAGCGCAAGAATCCAAACCATGCATAGAGAGACTGCGATACCGACGACACGACCTTCGGTATGGGACAGAGTGCGAAACAAGCGATGGCCTCTGATACGCACGAATTCCAAGCTCTCGCTAGACGATGGAGGCGCGCGACCAAAGCCAGGAGGGCTCAAACGAATGCTAAGCTCACGTTTGGGAACGAGCGTAAAGACTCCACGGCCTCGGTCATCCTGGGCATGGGGGAGGGGAACCGTCCACGGTGCATCAGAAGAAGCGGTACCATTGACTCGCTCGAGGATCTTCCTACAACGAACAACTTCAGCCACCACCGTGGATCGAATACGGCCGCCGAGTCATTACGTCGACTACAATAGAGTCCCACTTGCTTGTGGCCGTCGACGGCCTACATCGAAGAGTAGTATAGTGGCTCAAGCTTCCGAAGGAGTGACCCTCGCGACCGTCTACAGCGACGACGGCGAACCCTCGGGACGCGAACACGACCGCCGGAACTTCAAAGCCATTCGAGGCATATCGCGCGCAGCCTTGGAAGAAATGGGACTCGATCTCGTCGATCCTGAGAGGAAGTTGTCCCCGGGCAGCTGCCGCGTCACACATCGAACGGAGGGCTCGTTCCATCATGCAGTCTTCTTAAAGGTCGAGCGCGATGACGAAGTTCCGCAGGAGTACGTTCTCAAGATACCTGCGCACGGTACACCAAAAGAGTGGGGTATGAACGACCGTATGATGTTGGAATGTGAAGCTCAGTTACTGAAGCATATCCGCCACCATACAGACTGTCCAGTACCAGAGGTTGTCGCATACGACGGCGGCCTACAGAATGCGATAGGCGCGCCGTACATACTCATGAAGAAGATCAAAGGTATAGCGGCGACGGATCTGTGGCTCGGTCAACCCTACAGGATGTTCAAATCTGACGATCTGCACCTTGAGGCCGACGACCCTTCTCCGGAGGTCGAGCAAAAGCGCGTTACCTTTCTGCGCTCACTTGCGCAAGCTATGAGTCAACTTGCTACACTCAAGTTTCCGTATACTGGCGTCCCTAGCTACGGGTGTCCGGAAGATAAGAACCCAAAGTTCATCGCGCCGGCCTGGCGGTGGCACTGCAAGATGCACATGGAAGAGCCGACGTCTTATGGATCATTTGCGTCCAGCGAAGCCTTTTTCGCCGCTGGCCTCGACAGACTCTGTGAGCCCGAGAACCCTGATGATAGCGACGGAATGACAGAGCTTGGGGTTCAGATAGTGATGAGGATCGTACTGTCTTCGGCTCCGTTCAAGCCGTCCACACCCTCACAGGGTGAAATCTCTCAGGCTGGGTACGGTAGCCACACCGTGCCGGTACGCGAAACATTTGTCATCCGACATGATGATCTCGACCTCCAGAATATCCTGGTAGATGAAGATGGTAATGTGACTGGCATTATCGACTGGGATGCTTGCGCAGCGGTGCCACGCTGCATTGGCTACACATCCATGCCTACCTTTCTTCGTCGCGACTGGCTCCCAGACTACGGCTTAGGTCGGCTGCCACATATGACTTGGGCTATCGAGCGCTACCGCGAGGTATACACCCAGGCTATGGAGGGGTTCTGTGAGTCTTCGGATGTAAACTTCACGCGCAAGTCCGCGATGTATCAGCTGGTGTTAGCGGCCTTAGATAAAGACTTTCGGTGTAGGGATGTTGTGAAGCTGCTGCTGAGGGAAATGCCTGAGTACAGACGCGTTGATGTGAATTCGTTTTGTCGGAAGCTGGGGCAGGGTTGGCCGGCAGCTGAAAAGGCGTTGAGGATGAAGATGGCGGAGTTGTTGAAGCCGGAGTAAAAGCGATCCGTATGCGCAGCCCGTATGACGTCGAAGGATCTTCCAAAAGATTCATTATCTTATGGTATTCGAACCATGTCAACGCCATCTCGATGGTGATGGAAGATGGCCCCGAAATTCCACGTGCTGAGTCCAAACTGTCGTTGCTATGGGGTCTCTTATCGCAACGACCGCAAGCTTATCAGTGCTCAACGTCATCGGTACCGAGCACGTGCCGAGCTCTCACCCCTACGTCCCAACGTTCTTTCTCACGCACAAACTTCAACCAACGCATCGTCAGATCCGGCCCAAACACACCCCGCATCGGTGAGAGTCATCAACGTGCGATAATCGTATTGCCCCGCAACGGCCGCCAACAATCGATAAACTATTCCTGTGCCACGCTTGGGCCAAGTCGCGTTACGGTGCGACCAAGACGGATGGCGGCTGTCCAGCTTCTCAGCCCTATCTTACGCGAGCCTCTTCTCGTAAAGCTTACAGGCAGGATCGATCTAAGTATCTCACGCGGTACATGATGAGGCGATGATACATCAATAATGTACCCTTCGAGAAATAGCACTACCACACCTGCAGGTGCTGCCGTGTCATCGCGCGTCCTTGTCCGGATGTAGTACCACTCGGTGTAATACAATGGGTATAGCACTACCCTAAGAGCATGTGCCGAGCTGGTGTTGTAGCTCTTAGGTTCTCGAACAGGTCTCGGCTCATGTTCATTGGGATCGGCTACCAGTTAGGACGTGCTCGACTGCATTGGCGCGCAACAAGCCAGGCATCGTGATCCGAAGAAGGGTGTGCGGGAAAAGCAACGTTTGTTGATATAAAACAAACATAGTGAGGACACATTCAGATACGAACACCACCCACCAACAGTCGCTTTTGCCTTTATCTTCTTGCACCTATTGTGTGCTCTAATATCCTAATATCTAATGTTTTCACACGCAAAGGCGGCGGCTGCCTTTCTGCCATTTCTCTACTCAAACACCCTCGCTCAGGGCCAAGGATCATGGGGTCCAGTAATCGACTTTCCGATCATTCCTGTTGCAGCATATATCGTTCCGGAATGGCCGACTCCGACTCGCATGATGGTGTACTCGGCATTCTCACCGAACGCCTTCGGGGGTGAACGTGGTCTCACTCAGTTCGCGGAGTACAATTTGGTCTCCGGACAGATGACTACTCGTCAGGTTGCTGAAACCAACCACGACATGTTCTGCCCTGGTATGAGCTCCTTGGCCGACGGAAGATTGGTGATCACAGGAGGAAGCAATGCGGAGAAGACAACCATATACCAACCGGAGACAAACACATTCGCTCCCGGACCGGATATGAAAGTACCCCGTGGCTACCAAAGCAGCGCTATCCTCTCCAACGGAAATGTCTTCACTATTGGTGGATCTTGGAGTGGACCAAGAGGTGGAAAGCCAGGAGAGATTTACGACCCGGCACAGAACACATGGACACTTCTTCCTGGTGCTGCCGTCGAGCCGATGTTGACGACCGACCACGAGGGTATCTTCCGCGAGGATAACCACGCCTGGCTCTTTCCTTGGCGCAACGGCACCATCTTCCAGGCTGGGCCCAGTAAAGCGATGAACTGGTACTACACCGATGGCGAAGGAGGTGTCAGCCCAGCGGGCATCCGCGACGATGTCAACGACGCCATGTGCGGTGTCCACGTTATGTACGATGTTGGAAAGATTTTCACTGCAGGTGGAGCCCAGTACTATGACCAAGCTCCCGGTCTCGCAGTCGCGCATTTGATGGAAATCAACTACGTGGGCGCACCGGTGACGGCTGAACGAATCGCCGATATGCATCACCCCCGCGCTTTCGCAAACATCGTCGTTCTTCCTGACGGCAAGCTCCTGATCACTGGCGGACAGCGTTGGGCTGCAGGCTTCACAGACATCGACCCCGTCTTCATCCCCGAGATGTTTGACCCCGCAACCAAGACCTTTACCGAGCTGCCCGCTGAAGCCATTCCTCGTAACTACCACTCCGTTTCTATCTTACTACCGGATGCCACCGTCTTTAGTGGAGGAGGAGGTCTCTGCTGGGATGACGGAACCGGTGGACCGTCGTACCACTGCAAGGATACGGTCGACCACCCTAACGGCCAGATCTTCACACCAGCATACCTCCAAACCGGCGCTCCTCGCCCGATCATCGAGAACGTTGCTAACAGCATCGTCGCCCCTGGCGGTGAGCTGAGGGTCAAGATGCAAGGTTCGGCCGACGGTGTGAAGTTCTCTTTCATCAGGATTGGAAGTGTTACACACAACGTCAACAGTGATCAGAGGCGAATCCCGCTCCAGCCCAGAATCGAGGGTGAAGAGGTTGTCTTGCCTATCATGAATGACTCTGGTGTCGTGTTGCCGGGAGCGTGGTATCTGTTTGCTGTCAGTGCGGAGGGCGTGCCGAGTGTGGCTAGGACTGTGTGGGTCGAGAAGGTTTAAGTTTGATGCTGCATTTAATTTAGTGACGATAGATGAAGATATCTAAGTAGATTCGTAGTAGTGTTAATACAAACCATGATACCAAATCAACACATGTGTCAAAGTGTAAAGGATAGGCACTGTTGCGGAAGATTCGGCATCGAGAGCTCATTGCTTAGTGAGCACTCTGAGTGACTGACTTCTTTCGGTTCATATCAAGAATGTAAGAGCTATGGACGACATAATTATTATTAACCAATATGTTGACCAGTATACCTCGCTGGCTAAAGCACATTACCAACATGACGATGGAGATGCTCGCTTTAATGCTTCTACGAAGAGAACCTACAGAGGTCCTCTCTCCACGTCCTTGTGTGATCCATCCACGCTTCCATCAGAGGAACCCTCTTTGATCGCATCTTTCTTCTCCTCAGCCTTCGGTGCCGGTGCCGGTGGCGGAATCTGCGCAACCCAGAACACCGGGTATCGCCGCTGAACATTATTTCCCATCATTGCCGTAACCAGCACAACGGTCGACGACAGCAGCAAGACCGGCAAGAAGTACCATCGCAGCGCCCAGATATGCTGGTCAACACACGGCATGAGCGCTGTTGCTCCAGCAGGTGGATGAGTCGTCTTAGTCAGATGCATGACAACGAGAGCGATAGCTGTGGCCAAGGCAGCAGCGAGCCATTGCAGTCGTGGGTAAGGATCTTTCTCGAGGTCGAATTGGAAGATGGTTGCTATGATGACTCCGACTAGACCGCTGAAGAAGTGGCCGAAGATTAGGGAGCGTGGTTGCGAGAAGGGCACGTCGATGGCGCCGTAGCAGAGGATTGCTGAGGCACCCTACAAAAATGTTAGTCCTCCTCAATATCAGATATACAAAGAGTCGGAGAACTCACAAATGAAGCGATGATTGGTGGTACGGCGCGACTTCTCATGTAGTCTGTATGCCCAAATATAGCGAGGATGACGCTAAGCCCACAGAAAGCGCCGATGAAGCCCCAGACACAGACGACCCATGTGCGAGCAGCTGGTGCTGCTTTTGTTCGGTATCCAAGCCAGTGGCTGATAGGTTGTGGAAGGCGTGCAAGACCACGCTGGATAACGCGCTCAACGGGCACAAGAGGATCCCATATCGGCATCGTGGAGGCGGAAGATGCCTAGTTTACGCACGCGGCGGCGACTACAACAGATACTCGAAGAGAACGTCTGAGTTAGGCCAGTCGCGTCGAGGACTATCCAGTGCCAATATTGGGATGTAGTAGTGGTAGCGATGTCAAGAAATGGAAATGCGGAAAGAGAGAAAGCTTGATGAAAGCATAGACGCGGTAAACAGAACCTAGAGAAGGGAATAACCACCGGTGGGACGTCACCATCGCGGATCGAGCCTGGATCATGCACCCCGGACTAATGGCGCGTGCCGATTTAGTGCTACTAATGACCGCGGCATCACGGTTTTTGAATTCACGATCTTTGTTGATGCCACTGTTCCTAGGCATGGATGGTATGCGTCGATACGCAGACAACCAGATCTCTGGCCCTGCTGCTACACCTACGAAAAGGCCCTGCAACAACAGCGAGGCTAAACTCTGCGCAAACAAACGCGCAAAAGGAAGGCTTCCGCAAAGTCTTGACGATGGTTTGCGAAAATGCGGAGTAAGCGGTTTTCTGTTAGTAATAATCCGAGATTTCGCAGAGCTTCGGGCGAATGTCGCCGAAGTGCGGCATCACCAAAGTCTTACTCCCCACACTTCTGCGAAAGTCACTTTCCAGCTCGTTTGGCTCAAAGTTGTTGGTATTATGATGTATGTATGTTTTGGAATCATGTAAAGAGGCAGTTCGTGCCAATATATGGTCTTAGAATCCGTGGAGACCGGGACCAACCCTCGAAAACGCCAGAGCGCCGCGCTATAGCCCAAAGATATGGCATGCATCCCAAATGAAAGTCGTAACATGGTCGTCGCGATTAGACAGCCTGCCAGGTATTACTATTCGGATCCTTTGGCAGGCTATTGTTTGAGCCTTTGGTACCCAAGGCGGTGGCCACCGAATCCACCCTAACATTTCCCTTCACTTTCGTACTATCCGCATCATTACTATTCATATCCTCTTCATCATCTTTCACAGTCGGTAAGCTCATGTCGGCCACGAA